GACCAAAAGGAATAAAACGAGAAGAATTAGTAAAACTCATTCGAGAAGCAGCTAAACTCATCATGAACGGCTTTTCTATACCCGTAAACCCGACAGATAATTTAGCAGCAGATGGACAATTGTTTATTGAAATGTGTGAAAAAGATAAAAAATTTTGTGAACTCGTCACAGCAAGAGCACCAGATACTGCTTTTGCTTGTTATGATTTTTGGGTTGAAAAACTCATTCATGAACTTGGACCTTGGAGAGAAGAAGTTGGTAATGATGGTATTAGAAGAATCCAGTGTCCATACAATCAGACGTTAATGCGTACATTGAGAGACAAATATGACATTCGTCACTATGAAATAAGTATTAATCAATCAAAAATCTCTCGTTAGGAAGAATGTGGGTGTGAGTTGGAAGTAGGACACTCACATCTTGTGCTTGTTTTAGACAAGCTTCAAAGAAACACTCGAAAATAACAATTTTTTTTAAACATGTTACGTCTGAAAATTTCTCGGCTGAATGTTTTAATGTTGTAATGCAAACATCTTTCAATGTTGTCCTTGTTAAAACGGATACAAGTACGCAATATCTCTAAAATTAGATAGTTTAAAGTTTCAATATAGACTATTCGGATATTATTCTGACATCATCATTGCATTAATTGTAAGAAATCTTCATTTCCGAGTGTTTTCTTTTTCAAGCGTGCCCAAAATAATCATAAATGTTACTTTCATCAATAAAAAATATGTATTACATTAAAGAATCAAAAGACAAAGTTTTCGAAAAACAATCCTTTATTAGCGAATATAAAATGGGATATCATTAAAATATCGAGAGATCGATTACACCTAAAACAGCTGTTCATTTTTGTGTGTCTCGTTTATATTTCAATCAGATCATGTACGTAATAATGGTCCACGGTTACAAATTCTATAGAAATCTATCAATGAATTTATCTAAACGCTTCAAAATAATAATCTCTGATATCTATGAATGTTTCTTTTTCAATATTGTTGAAGTTTCACAGATAAATTTTAAAAAACACCGATGACATTTTCCTTTTAGAGAGTATTTGACAAATATATGATACTAATTGGAAGCAACAAAATGAATGCTTTCTTTGTATCTAAAATGCATAGAATCAGGTATATAAAGGTTGGGCCAGAAGTACTGACTCGTTCTGTGTCATTAGTTTTTCTAAACTAAAACATGTTTGTAAATTTGTTTCTATGATTAAAAGATGCACTAAAGGGTGAGTGTGGGTGGGTGTGGGTGAGTGTGGGTGGGTGTGGGTGGGTGTGAGTGTGGGTGTGGGTATGGGTGCACTCAGAGAAGACTCACACGCACATCCATCCACATCCAAACTTATCCATGCCTACACCCATACACAACCACACTCATCAACACTCGCACCCTTCCACAATAACACCCATCCAGAATAACACCCACCCACACTCACACCCACACACCGGCACCCGCACCCGCACCCATCCACACCCACATGCTTTTCAACGTAGGCGCATGATAAATAAACTATTGTTACCTGGTTAGGGGAAATATTATGATATCGAGAAAAATGCGAAAAATCTTCAAAACGACTGAGGGAAGTCAACAGTTTTTTAGAAGTCTAGGTTAGGATAACCTGTTGAATCTCACTTGTGGAAAGAAAAACTCATTCTAGCTTTCGAAAGGAGATACTGGCTATTAGAAACCAAGAAGATGATTATTTTCTCGTAGAGGATTTTGATATCTACAGAAACCATCTAAAGTGATGTAGTTTTACTTTAATTCGTCATAAATTCTACGCTGAACGTATTTTTTCACTGAGGTTTCCAATAGAAACTCCTTACTTTCGAACACTCTTCTACTCAGAGATGTTGATTCGAAGTCTTCTTATTCTTCACGCTTATCCCAGAGCCGGATAACATTTATTAACTGAGAAAATTTATGCACACCTATGACCACAATTTCAGATATAGAATAGTCACACATAGCAAGTAAAACTTTGTCGTTTGTATTTGAAGGAAATGTAATAAAATCAACACATTCATCAGCATTCTTGAAATATTGTACATTTGCAAGTTTACCATCATTTAAAGCTTTAAGTTGATGTTCATATTGAGCTGAATTTAAATACCAAACAATAGTTACTTTATGTTGTATATTTTCCATTTATTTTACTGAGCCTATGTTGTACTATTATATTAAGTTACTAAAATGTATTTAACACTCTATAGTCGTTCTTTTTGTTTATTTTTTTCTTTATGTTATTTACTCCCAATGCTTATAGGACAATTAAAAAATGCATTATAATAAGAGTAGCATCATACATATTTAGGCAATTTTTTAAGATAAAACGATCCTAATGACGTCAATAATTACGAAGAGAAGAAAAGAACGACTATAGAGTGTTAAATACATTTTAGTGACTTAATATAATAGTACAACATAGGCTCAGTAAAATAAATGGAAAATATACAACATAAAGTAACTATTGTTTGGCATTTAAATTCAGCTCAATATGAACATCAACTTAAAGCTTTAAATGATGGTAAACTTGCAAATGTACAATATTTCAAGAACGCTGATGAATGTGTTGATTTTATTACATTTCCTTCAAATACAAACGACAAAGTTTTACTTGTTATGTGTGACTATTCTATATCTGAAATTGTGGTCATAGGTGTGGATAAATTTTCTCAGTTAATGAATTGTTATCCGGCTCTGGGATAAGAGTGAAGAATAAGAAGACTTCGAATCAACATCTCTGAGTAGAAGAATGTTCGAAAGTAAGGAGTTTCTAGTGGAAACCTCAGTGAAAAAATACGTTCAGCGTAGAATTTATGACGAATTAAAGTAAAACTACACCACTTTAGATGGTTTCTATAGATATCAAAATCCTCTACGAGAAAATAATGATCTTCTTGGTTTCTAATAGCTAGTATCTCCTTTCGAAAGCTAGAATGAGTTTTTCTTTCCACAAGTGAGATTCAATAGGTTATCCTAACTTAGACTTCTAAAAACTGTTGACTTCCCTCAGTAGTTTTGAAGATTTTTCGCATTTTTCTCGTTATCATAATATTTCCACTGACCAGGTAACAATGGTTTTTTTATCATGCGCTTGCGTTGAAAAGCATGTGGGTGTGGGTGGGTGCGGGTACGGGTACGGGTACGGGTGTGTGGTTGTTATTGTGGATGAGTGTGGGTGTTGATGAGTGTGGTTGTGGATGGGTGTAGGTGTGGATAAGTTTGGATGTGGATGGATGTGCATGTGGGTTTTCTCTGAACGCACCCACACCCACACCCCAAAAGACGATTATCTATTGATTAAAATCTATAATAAAGTCCTTTCATTGCATAACTTCGACTTAAAACTCACACTCACTATTTTCTTCGACAATATACGTGAATTCCATAAAATTTTGAAGCTTCTCCAGGACCAATCTTCAGACTACGACGAGTTCCAGAAATCAGTGCACTCGAATATTTTTCGAAACGAACAAGACAGAGCACAATGGGGAGCATCTGTAGATGTTGATTTTTTGGTCCAGGAGAAGCTTCAAAATTTTATGGAATTCACGTATATTGTCGAAGAAAATAGTGAGTGTGAGTTTTAAGTCGAAGT